CGTTCCCCAGGGGCGCCGCCGCTGCCATCCGGTAATACGCCCCAATGGCCCCCTGCAGGTCAACTCCTGCATCCCTCCCAGCATACAATTTCTCCACCAAGCTGTCCATGCGTTCATTGGTGGCCCCCAGCTCGCGGCGGCGCTCCATAAGCTCGTTCTTGGCCTCGAGGACAGCGGCTGCTGTGAAGTGCGCCTGCTGGCGCCAGCGGAGCATCTCCTGGGAGGGAGGAGGCGAGCGCCGACAGGGGCGGGTGGGGGCGTCATCAAGGCGTGATGGGTTCGAGCGAGAGAGAGCGGGGCAGGCTCGGACCGCCAGCGCGTTGGCTGGATTTGGGGCCCGCAGGCCGTGATGCAATAACGATGGGATGCAAACCAGCACACCCCGGCACAGGGGACGAACGGACGGCATGCAGGCGCATGCGTACGCGCGCGCGCGTGCGCACGCACACACACGCACGCACGCACAACACACGCGCACACATGCCACGTCGCACCTGCTGCATCACGGCCATGTGGTGCGCCTGCTCCCGCTCTCGCCGCGCCATCTCATCGGTCAGGGCGCCCAGGCGCATCTGGTGGTCGGCCTCGAGCCGCGCGCGCTCGGCCGCCTCAGACGCGCGTACGCGCTCCTCGGTGCCGGTGACGGCCTCCTGCGCCTTAGCCACCTGTGGGGGCGGGTGGGAGAGCGTTCGTGCGTTGCAAACGAGTGTTTTGTTTGCACCCCGAGGGGAAAACAGATGGCATTATTGAATCAGACGTGCTGTCTGTAAGGACAACGAGGCATTGCAAGGGTGCTCACTGTCATTAAAGGATGGCCCACTTGATGCTACTTTGACACAGACTGCTGAACGCGTGCCGCACAAGCATGCATGCATCACGACTCGACCACGTGGTGATGTCTGGCCGGCAAAACTCAACACCCGATCCCTGCCCAACTGACAGGGAGCGGCAGCGGCTGCGGTCGCCCACTCCCCCCTGCTCGGCACGTCATGCTGGCTCCGCCCCGTGCCATTGGCCCTGCCCCCGCACCGGCTCGGCCTCCACGTGTTGGCATGCCCTCCCCCCTCCCCGCGTCACACACTTACTCACCTCGTTCCTGGCCTGCAGCACCTCTATGTCAAATTGCCGCCGCATCTCCTCCAGCGCCTGCCGCTCCTGCAGTGGGTGCGGGTGCAGCAGCGCCCGTCCACCGACAAAGGCGGCGCCCCGTCAGCGCCGTGAGGCTGCCGTCCGTGCCGCAGGCTGTCGCAAACCGACAGCGGATCAAGAGCGGCGGCTGCCTGGAGCATACATGCTGCTTGTCGCTGCACGGGTCGCATGCCACTTCACCCCAAGGCCTGACGGCTGCAATCCTCGGGTCCCCCCCATGCTTGCTGTACCCATGGCATCCTGCCTTCCATGCAAACCCCCTCGTCCGCACCTTCCCGACGGTCTCCCTCTCAATCCTCAACCCCTCCAGCTCGTCCCCCCTCAGCCTGTTTGCATTTTCCAAAGCCGCCACGGCCTGGGCCTCCGCTGCTGCGGCCGCGGCTGCGTCGCGGGCAGCCGCCTCGCGTGCCGCCGTCTCAGCCTTGAAGTGGCGTTCCAGGCGCAGCAGCATGTCTTCCAAATCCTATGGTTGTGGGGGGAGGTGGTCGCAAGGCTGCGTGTGTGTGTGTGTGCGTGCGTGTGTGTGTGTGTGCGTGTGTGCGTGCGTGCGTGCGTGTATGTGTGTGTGCGTGCGTGTGTGTGTGTGTGTGTGTTTGTGTGTGTGTGTGTGTTTGTGTGTGTGTGTGTGTGTGTGAGTGTGTGTGTCCTCACGCGCGTGTGCCTGCATGCATTACAGTGAGGGCAAAGCCCATGCCGTTATCCCTATGTGTGCGTGCAACTGCATGCGTGCAACTGCATGCGTGCGCATGCTCAACAACTCGCATTGCCAGAAAGCATGGAGGCCTGAGCATGCGTTCATGACTGAGTCGCCACTTCCTGTTCTCAATGCAGAGGCGCTCATGCAAGCAGCCCTCACGGGACGGAGGTGCCTGTTAGATTGCTCATGCAGCGTGTCCCTTTGCAGGCCGCGTCACTCCTCACCTCGCGGGCCCGCCGCTCTGCCACCAGCTCCTGCTGCTGTCTATCCCACTCAGCAAGCAGCTGCCCGACGCTCCAGGACTCGTCCGGCCTGATCGCCGTGGCGGCGGGCGCGGGCGCGGGCGCCGGCCGCGCGCCCGCCCAGCCCTGGCCCGCCGCGCCGCTCGTGGAGTGCAGCGGCGGGCCCCACTTTGTCGCTGCAGGTGTCGCTACCAACCCCATCATCCCCGTTTGGTCGCCCCCTGAGACGCTGCCCTTGCGCGCCTGGTGGGGGGCTGGGCCGGAGCCTTCCTGCTGCTGCTGCTGCTGCTGCTGCTGCTGCTGCTGCTGCTGCTGCTGTTGCTGCTGCTGCTGTTGCTGCTGCTGCTGTTGCTGCTGCTGCTGTTGCTGCTGCTGCTGTTGCTGCTGCTGCTGCTGCTGCTGTTGCTGCTGCTGCTGCTCTTCGAGGAGCTGCATGTGCTCCCTCTGCAGCAGCTGCTGCGTCGTCAGCTGCTCCTGCACCTGCTGCGTCAGCTGCTGCAGCGCCTCGCGCGCGCCCGCCATCTCCATCGAGCCGCCGTCGGCACC